CATTGAGTGATTGATCGCATATTTCAATAGACAGACCACTGAACGAAATGTTGCAAAACTCTGGCATCTCATCGATCCTATCATTAAAATACGGTTTAATCTCAACGAAAAACATTTCAGACATGAATACAATTTATTGACTTTTGAATTAAATTTTAAGCAAAAAATATAATTTTACAGAAATTTGTGAAATTCTTGGAGTTTTGTTATTCAATGAAAATTTTATTTTTAATTAAGCTCTTATTTTTAATTTAAAATTCATTTTGCGTTAATTTTAGGGCTTGTAGTTTGTGTGTAGGCTTGAGATATTACATGTTTTTATGTAATAATAGCATCCAATATGTTGTTATTAATATTAAAATAATTTTTAATAATGTTTTGCATAAATTTATAATAAACTTTTAATTTTGAGTTTAGTTTTTTTCTCTGTGTTATAAACATTCAAAAAATGTAATTTTTTAGTTATTTTTTGTGCACAAATAAAGAAAATAATAACTTTATAAACCATTTAAAAATAAATTTGTCATCAATTTTTGAAGTCATTTATCATAAATATAAATAATCATTTCATTCAACAAAACAAGTCCTGACAGTAAGACTCTATAGATAACATACAACTCACATAAGAATCTGTATTAATTTATTATCCAATTTTGTGGCTAAAAATAAGTTACAATATTATTAAACGTAATGTAAAAACTCAAATATTTAGTCAAATAAAAAATAAACAAATTTAAATACTTTATTATAAAAAATTATTTCTAAATTTATATAATTTTAACGACTAAATCATGGCAATGGTGTACCTTGATAATTTCTTAAATTAAACATTTATCTAAACATTTATCTTTATCTATGAGAAACTTTTATGAATTTTCACATACTTTTTATATACACAATGAATGACCCTATTGTGAGTTATGATAGTCTCTCTCTCTCTCTCTCTCTCTCTCTCCTTAACTAAAAAGTTGTTTCTATAATTGATGTCTAAATTTAAATACAAATAATGAAAAAGTAGTTTCTGTTTGATTTAAATAAATATTTTTGTCTCACTTTTTTCTATTTGATTCTTAAGTGAGAGAAAAGATATGAAAAAGTTATAATTGAAAACAAATATTGCGAACGAATTATGTATTTTTAAATTTAGGTCTAATATGAGATCAAATAAGCAAAAGGTGTTCACAAAAACAACCGATAAGAAAACTAGAGGAAAGGGAGAGACGACTTGTATATAAGTTATATAACTTTATGGTACATAACATACAAAGAATTGTGTGATAAGTGTGCGAAACATAAATGTCTTTATTTGTTTGTTAATTGAATATAAATATAAAAGAAAACTTTAAGTTAAATAAATTGATAACAATTTATTTATTATAACTATTATCTGAATAAACAATCGGTGAAAATGTAATTTATTTTACTTTTAGTCTCATTTTTAATTGCCGGCAAACTTTCATTTGAATGTATAGTTTTGTTTAAGAAAATACTGAATAAACGAGAGAAAAAGTGATTCAATAAAAGCGCAAACAAATACCAAAAGAAATCATTTATTAATTTTTATAATAAACTATTTATTAGTAATTTCCTACAGAAACTGAATTATGCGGAGGAAAACTTGTATTCATCAATAAAACACATGTTATTTCTTATTAAAGCAAAAATTGTTTATTAAATGTGTATTTAATTTGACAAAACATACGACCAAATGGGAGCCCATGTAGTGAATGAATTGGCATAACTTATGGCATAACAAAATACAGACAAACCCCTCGTGTATACACACATACAAAACACCATACAATCAATCTCTTCGCCCACTCTTCTTATCCATACATCAAATACTCTTTTCTCTATTTTAATTAAAATTTATTTGAGAGAAAAAATATTTTATCAATGAATGAGCTTTTTATTTGTGTATTTATTTTGTTTATTGTCTCTCCACTCGTCTATTCAAGTGAAACAACCAAACACTTCCTTAAATGTTTTTTATGTTAAAAGGTTTAATACAATCCAATATAATATTATATTAGTTTAATTCCTATTTAATATTCAAATTTAAGTTTCAATACATTTTTGAAAATTATGTCAATAAGTTTTCCCTACATGTATTGAAAGTTTCAAATATTCTCAATACATGCGATAAATGGCATTACAATATCTAAAGGGATAACTATTTTTCATAATTATATATAATTTTCAGCAATCATTAGTGAGAAATATGTTATTTATTTTCTATTAGATTTTAGATAAATTTTCGATTAACTCTTTTTTTAACCAAATGCTTGCGTTTTGTCAGATATTTCAGCAGATTTTTAAGTAAATTATATTTTTAAAATCATGATTTGATACTAAAAACAACAAATTTTGTCCAAAAAACAGATCAGTAATTATAAAGAGATATTTCAGGCAAATATTATTATTATTAATATGATTATGGTTAAACTACTGTTTATAAAGTAACAAAACTTTTGTTTTTGAAACGTTGATTTCATATCAAACATTAATTTAATATACGATATACAGTATAACGTATATCTCATATTATATTATCTAATAGTGAGAGAAATTTGAGTCCAAGACATTAAAAGTCTATAATTATATATTGATATAATGTTTTTGAGTTCTCCACGAATTATTGCCATTGAAATTGCTTTTTACAACTACTGTGTATTAAAAGCATATGATTATTAGTTTTATATATATTTATTAAGAGTTGTGTTGACCTATCTTTTTCAGTTATATAATAATTGTATTATAACTTCACTCAACAAATATACAGATCATATAAACTATAAATTATATACTCTTTTAATACTATTATTTTGAGAGCAATTCTCTCCCTATATATAACATATATATTACTATATTTTTAAAAAATGCGATTTTTATATAAATAAAGATTAAATATACTGAACATAAACACCACTTAAGTCACGATTATATTTGTTAATAAGATTTCATTCTTTCACTACTTATTAAATGATTTTTAGTTTTTCTCATTTCATTTGCGAGACTCGAGTTGTGCTTTGCTTTTGAAGCACAAAAAACAACAACAAAAAAGAAACCATCAATTGATTAATGAATTAATAAAATAATAAATTCTAATACATTGTAATTTGGGTTAACTCTGCTCTCAAAAAGTGATAAGATTTCAATCGTTTCTTTCGTAGCTCTCATACACTTCACACAACGTATGCACTAATCGTTAGATTAATATTATATGAAAAAAGTAATGATTCGCTCATTAATTAATAGCGATTAAAAGTTTCGTTTTGGTCTCTATTTATATATCGCATAAAAGCATCGATTATTTGATTCATTAATATCCAGAAAATTATACTTTTGTTACAATTCGTGAATTTTTATGTATAATTAAGTTTAAAAGATCTAAAACTTTAATACTTTTTTGCGATTAAATAAATTCAATACAAGTTTTATTTTTAATGTGATTTTTAAACAAAAGACAAGAAAATTTATATAGATTATTTGTAATTAAAAATAGAGTCAATTCTATAATTGATTTAATACAGTATACGGAGAAATAAAATTTATTTTATGTAATAATATAATTGTGACGGCTATTAAAATTAGGGGCTATTTTATACGGGCGCTCACAAACACTCGCACATAGTTTTACAGTTTTATTTTTATAATTGCTTTGAAAAATGCTGTTTTATTTAACTCGTGACTGAATTATGGGTTTGAATTAAATAGTGTGTGAATTTGAATACATTTGGCTGACCCGTCCATTCCTCGCCTCTAATTTATAGTCAATTATAAGCTTTTAATTTCCACTAATTTGACACAATATTAACTCTAAACCCAAATACTAGACCTTAATTTATGTCGAAATATTTTAATTGTACGAAATGCTATGTTTTCAAATTGTTGTCAATTTTATTAGTTATTATTAGTTATACATATTGTAGTTGTAAATAGTTATATATGTAAGCATTTATTATTTGGTAATAAAGTTTTTTTAGTTTTACAAATACAATACGTTATAAAATGTACAATTATTGTTATATTATATTTATAATTTTAATTGTATTAATACTATTGTTATTTTGCATTGTTTAATAATTTATGGCTAAATTTATATAATCCTTAATATATATAATTTAATGTCTTAATACAGTACTATATTAGGATTTCATTTTATTAGCCCTAATGCCTAATCTAAGTTATTAGATCTGAAAATATTAATATTATAAAAACATAAAGGTTAAATTAAAACAATCACATTTGTAAAATTTTATTAAAATATTAAATGAAATATTAAAAGAATGTAAAGTTTTGTTGAATTTGTTGTAACTATTTAAAGCTTGAGATAGCCTTATAAGTAAATTGTAAGGCTATTTACTTATACAGTATGATATAATTTATATCCAACAATTTTATTAGCATTGGGTTATAAAATATTTAAAAGTAGAATTTGCTGCTGTCATCTAACATGTGATAATGTTATTAAATAAGATTATTACAAGTAAATTTGGCCAAGGTAAAAACCTAAAGTAGTTAATTTTTATTAAATTATTAATTGTTATTAAATATACTTACTTAAGACTCCGTGATATGTCATTAATTATTGTGACCAGTGTTTTACTGTAATTCTTAAATTAGTTTTAAAATGGATATTATAGATCACATGATTTAAATTATTTTTGTACTTTTATTTTTTATAATCAAAATTTAATCGATTGCACAAAATTTGATAAAAATATTTATAAAAATAAAATCATAACAATTTATGGTCAATATTTGAATGACTAAAACAATATACAGTATTTACACAATTACTGTCTCTCATTTGATTCGCAATGATATGTAGTATAAAATCAATTATCAAATATATTTTTTGGATGATTTGAATTCTCAATTAGAGCTAAATGTGTGTTAAATGAGAACAATATAAAAATAATTTAATTAAAAAACAAACAAAACTAAAACTCTTAATAAAGAACATAAAATATTGTGGCATTTGTTTAGACTCTAAAGCTTAGAGACTATAACTATAAGAGAGACTAATAAAGGTAAAAATATCATAATAATGGCATTTAATAAGCGGTGATTTTCAACGGCATAGTTGTGTGAATGGTTTGATCCGATCGTCAAAAATGGATCAAATCTTTTCGCCCGAAGAAGTGTTGAGATTATAATAAAGCGAATGATCGAAGTGTTGGAGATCAACGTAACCGCATTGCAATTCAATCATTTCCGACAGTTTGACCCGAATGTCGGTAAACGAGAGCCGATTATCGCAATCGTAACGGAAACACATTGACATCAACTCATAGAAGCGATCGCTACAGTGTTGGGGCCGATCGACAATATGGCCTTCGGTCACGTATTTGATCACTTCTTGTGCGCTGAGACCGATATAAGGCGTTGAGCCGAGAGTGACGATCTCCCAGAGCAGCACAGCGTACGCCCAGACGTCACTCTTGGCTGAGAAGACGCCCATCGATAGCGACTCCGGACTCATCCACCGGACGGGCATTTGTCCGCCGGTCTTCTGCTCGTATTGATCGCCGTCTTTGTCTCGGATACTGCGGGAGAGACCAAAGTCGGCCACTTTGCACGTCTTGCGGTCGTCGATCAGTATATTACGGGCCGCTAAGTCTCGATGAATGATCTGTCAATGGATTTATACAAATACACAACACATTAACCATTAAATGACAATTTAAAATGCTGTGAAAGACTCACTCCATGACTACTAATGAATTCCATTCCTTTGGATATTTGATACGCGAATAAAACCAAATCGTTTGCCGAAAGGTTTTTATCCCCGGAATCGGTTTTATAACCGCTACTATTCATTGAATTATAATTATCACTATTATTATTGTTATTATAATATGTTTTATCAGTTCTGTGTCTTCGCAAGAATGATAATAGTTTGCCATTCGATACGAATTCCATTATTAGAAAATATGGCACTAATTATTGAATGAAAAACATATTAATTAACAAATTTATCATAATTTAAGTTATAAATTGTTTTTAGTTTATAAATTGCATACTTGTTTCAGTACAACAACCGAGAAGTTTAACAACATTTGGATGGTTTCCCAACTGAAGCATAATATCGAGCTCTTTGAGAAGATCTTCAGCGTCTTTCTCATCCGTATTGACTAAACAGTAAATAAATTTTATATTAATATTTGATATGAAATACAAGAGAAAGAGTTGACATACTTTTATTTGTTTTGATGGCAACCGTTTGACTTTTATTGTTATTTTTAATCTGTGTGGCTCTCGCTTTCCACACCTAATTTACCGTAAATTGCATTAAATGTTTTAGAGAGAGAGAGAGAGAGAGAGAGAGAGAGAGAGATCATACCTGTCCGAAATTTCCTTCTCCGAGAATTTCAATCATATCTAAATTTTTTCGCGAGACCTCCAAAGAGTAGACGCGACGGCTTTTCACTAAATACGAGGGCTTATAACTGTTATACCAGACGGCACTCGAGTCAATGGAGCCGCCAGAGCCCGTGTTGAGCGACTTTTCTGCCCTTTCGACTAATTTATAAGTCAATTGATTAATGGGAATGTCGTTAATGAGGAATGGATTGGGAGTATTTCCATCGCTGGTGTTTTTCTTCACTTTTGAACGTTTGGACGCCTTATCTCTGATGCACTTTCTCTTGAGATTCTTGAGGGCCCACATTATGCCTCCGATCACTGCCGGAGAAACACCGATCACAGCAATGATATAGATCTGAACCGTTGAATTGTTTTGGTATTTCTTATCGTCGGCACGACTCCCACCACCGGTTCCGCTACTACTGTCCGACTTATCGTCATCAGTGGTGGCGGCCTTCAGTATGACATCACTCAGGTCTTTGTCGAGTGTCTGTCGGACCAGATATACACGATATTCGGGTCGCGAAGCGTTGGGCGACGACGTAATGGTGGCGGCGATGGTGTCCAGCGATGCTATCGTCACGTTCTCCATGGCGTTGGCCTCCAATAACAGCCCAGAGATGGTTATCATTAACACAATCATCGCCAACGCATATGTTTAAGCACTACTGTATATTTAATAAAAACTATATTGGTAGGTTTGGGGGCACAAGCACTTTTTGATCAAGTTGAAATATCCGACACTTTCTTTAGTCGCATTTTCGGTCAACCAAATGGCGGTCAATAGGGATGTGCTAACGAACCAAACAATTACATCACATCCACATATATTTTAACACTGCGTTTGGCACTTATTTTTATGAATTAAATCCAAGGCAATAGTAAAGTGTATGTATTATGTGTTGTTTGATGTGCTTTCGAGTGGTGTTCGCAATCGAGTTGTTTGTCAGTTGTATTCAATGTATTTCTATGTAAACCCACATTACGTTCAGAGAAAAAAAATCAAAAGTCTCGAGGCTAGAGATCAGGCATTCATTACATTATACATCCGATGTATCCCAATATTAATAATTATGAAAAACTTGTTTTACAACTTTCACATCGCATCAAATCTCTCTCTCTCTCTCTCTCTCTCTCTC